AGACACAGGTAAAGCTTTAAAAGGGGTTTTTTAAACGCAATGATGCTGTAGGGATTGAAGAACAAATGCTCATTATAATCAACACGTTTGCATGCTTTTTAAATTTTGAATTCATAGATTTTTAAGCATAACCGTTTTAACCAGATACAATAATTTATCTGAATAAAATTTCAATTCAATTCAGTTTATTTCTATATTACCAATTCACAACACATGTCATCTCAAGGCACTTTACAGTTCACCAGATCATACATTCAGATTGGTTCAAAGTTTTCCATCTGAGGAAAACCAGTTGATTGCATCGATTATTTGACTCAAAGGCAATCCCTCACACTAAGCATGCTTGTAGCGACAGTGGAAAGGAAAAACTCCCTTAAAACAGGCAAAAACCTCCAGTAGAACCAGGCTCAGTTTTCAGCCCCATATTGATCATAAGACATGAGGAAAATTTCTCTGTGCTGCGCTTTGTTTTTAATTTTACCCTACAACACACACACCAATGAGATCGAGTACAAATTTCCTTTTTTTAATATATATATATAAAATATATATATATAAAATCCACGGTTCGGTTCGATTCACGGTTTCTGGTCACGGTTTTCGGTTCGATTCGATACATGTTGATTGTTACACCGAAATCCCATAAAAATTTATGAAATTAATGAAAAAATACCCCAAAAAATAATGGATTGTAATTATTTTAAATGATCCGCAAAAACCCTGGATCATTTCCGTATGTTTTGCTGCTTTGAATTTAATCATCTGGCGCATGCTCTCTAACATCTCCAAGGGACTCAGAGGGGAGCAGACGAAGCCACAGTGGAGGCTGTAGCTTTGCTTTGAGCAGCCGGTCTGGAGCGCAGCGGGGCGGAGCGGGGGTTACTGACGGAGTATGTGGGATTTCGGGGTTAGCATGACATGTTGCTGTTAGCATATACAAAACGTGTTGCACAATGCTTGCACACTGTTCCACAACTTTCTTTCCGCCGTCATAGTAGGTCACTCTAAATGCAAAAACGCTCCCATACAGCAGACCTATAAAGTGCTGCTGGCGCGTCTTCCAACTCCTGTTCTTTCCCACTCGCCAGTCTGACACAATTCTCCACAACAACTGATTTTTTTCCCCTGCTACACCCGGCTAAGCTGCTTCGCTTCTTTTTCTTCTTGTTTACTACTGGCGGTTGGCTTTGGTCGCAGTACCGCCACCTTCTGCTCTGGAGTGTAATCGCTTCCTCTATGAGAAAAAGGAGCAGCGCATGAACCGAACGAAACACACGCGAACCGAACCGAGACAGTCGAACCGAACGATTCTGACGGTTTTCATAAATCGTCCCATCCCTAGTATATATATATATATATATATATATATATATATATATATATATATATATATATATATAAGGGCTGTCAGTTTTAAAGCGTTATTAACGCGTTAACTGCTTTAGACTATAACGCCGACATTTTTTTTAACGCACGTTAATCGCGCATCAAAACAAACGCACCGTTCGCTTGTGTTCTTTATTTTTCCGCAGCGCTCTCTGTACTGTTTGTTTTACCCTCAGCGCTTTCCGTAGCTTCAGGAACGCTAAGTTTGCGGGAGAGTCCGCAGCATAACAGACCCGTGCTTTGAATGGGCAAAAATGGCCAGCAGACAAGGTATCCTGAATGATACGTTTCTTTTTTAAGTTATGCCAGAAGGTTCCCTTGACAAAACCCAAGTCGTCTGTCTATGTTGTCCAGAAGAAACGAGCGTCTCACTGGCTTAGTGCCAACAAGACAAAGAAATGAACAAAGTCATGTGGACTGCGCTGCTGCTGCACTTCCTGTTCAGACCAAAGGAATATTAAAGCATTTTGAAAATGTTCTACATGTAAAACGTTATGTTGCTGAGATGACTGCAAAGCCCAGTTATTGTAATTTCGTCTGATTTATTTATTATTTTTGTGAGTAAATTCATTTCATTTTAATTAAGTCTGTATTTCATAACGGAATGTGCACTTTATTTTTGTCCTATGTTTGAGAAAAAAACTTAAGCTTACGGAGTACTTTGAAGTAATGTTTACTGTTCTGTAGTTTTGTAAAGTTTTGATGGAAGCATAACGCCTAATTTAAAATTTAGAATTTAAACCAGGATATTTTTATTGTAGTTTCTTAAAAGTGCTTGAAAAATTATGCTAATAAAAAAAAATTTGTATAAGCATGTGTTTTTTACATTATTGCACGATTGCATTTTTAAATGGCCAAATAAAATAAATAAAATGATAAAATATGCGATTAATCTCGAGTTAACTGTTGATAATATGCGATTAAAATTTTTAATAGTTTGACAGCACTAATATATATATATATATATATATATATATATATATATATATATATATATATATATATATCTCAGCTTTCTCTGGTGTACAGGACAGTAACCCTACCTGCTGTGTGGGTAAGTAACTTAGGCAGAAATTAGACCAATCAGAAAACTTTTTTCCTCTCCAATTCTTGAATAGCATAATCATTTCCAATTTTATGTTATTTGCTGAATCTCTCATTTTCAAGTTTTCCCTCAATTAATAAATATGTTACATGGTATTTACTGAGAAAGAGTGCATCTCAAGGATTCCTTTTCCTTTTCAGACTCAATGATAGCAAATATAGTGCTTAAAGTTGTAGGATTTATAGATTAGCTGTGACATATGAATCAAGATGCCATGACCGAAAAAGTTTGATTGATAGATGACCGTTGATATATGATTGGCCTGCATATGGCCTGCAGATTAAAAAAAACACAGATTTTAAGAGAGGATTTTTTTTTTAAATAGAAATTTTCTAATTTTTGGGATAATATAGTCAGATAAAGAGTACATTTATATACATGTTTAAGCCACAATGATCTGACATTTAAATATGATTTCTCTATTACTTTAATACCTTCTGCACAGGGAGGCAAACATACCCTCTTCAAAAAGCCGTCCTGATGTGAAATAATAAAATAAAACAAAAGCACAAGGACAGGCCAAGAAACCCAGCTTGTTAAAAGCATCCACAAAGCCCTTGCACAGCTCCCGTAAACATCTCTGACTATTTGATGTGGCCTCTGATCCACTTATATATGTTTAACCGCAAAGCAAAAAAAAACAAAAAAACATTTTGAATGCTTGCTCAATAATATTCAATGTTTGAGTTCAACTGAGAGACTTTTTTTTATTATTTATTTATTACTTAAGTGACCATAAGGTGTTAAAAATTTATTCTTTAAAGTCCATCTATTGTATCTTTTCTTTAAACATTTAGGTTTCAGATGTCCACCGCCTGATGGCTGGTAACAACAGTCTATCGCAGAGGTTACTGATTAGTGGACAGTGGTCCGGACCCACCTGTTGGCTAATCCGGACCTAACCCTAACATTTATAAATTACCACATGCGTCTAAACTTCACTTGGCTGCTCCTCCTGTTAATACAGTAAAGCCCTCCAGAGTGTCCAGCACCAGGCTACACATGATCCAAATTATCCAATGAGCTGCTGTCAGTCTGGGTTGCTGCTGCTGCTGCTTTTAGACACAGCAGGCAAACCTGTACAAGCCGGGCGATGGGAAAGAAGGAGAAGATGATGAGAAGAAGAGAGCAGATAAAGTGTGGACTGCTGGAAGAACTGCGGTAAACTGGTGAAAGAAAAGTGAAATGGTGCTCAAAGATGACCCTGCACATTTAGAGGATGTTTGGCTCAACCTGCTGCTGTGAAGCAGGATTCTACACCATGAACAGAATCAACAATAAATATGGATCCAGGCTCAAAATGAGCACCTTGATAAGTGCTTGAGATTGGCTTTGTCTCCATTAAAACCTAGGTTTGAAGGCTTGCAGGGCAGCATAAAGCCCACTGCTCTCATTAAGCCAGAAAAAAGAAAGAAAAAAATTACAACAAAGGTCAGTTCAGGTGTTTTATAAAATATGTGAATTAGGAAATTGTCTTTATACCAAACTGAACGATTGCTGTTCTTTTTAAAATGTAAAATATGTTTATTTTATATTACTTAAAAGTCAATGTATAACATGGATGCATAAACACTTCATTATATTTCAATGTTAAATCATGTTTAAAATAACAGATTATAATTAAAAATGTCTTCAGACCTTTACTGGTTGTTGATTTTCTTTATTCGGACCCTGCTGATTTTTAATGGGTTCCCCCTGCTCTATCGGTTTTAATTAAATTTTAAGCCATTAACCCAGTTTGAGCGGCACCATTGTCTCACATGTTTGTGTTTAAGGCTTAATATCTATCAAATAAATTCCTTTCAACAGGAGCTGCCCCCCCAACCCGCATCATTAAGCTTGTGGTTTTATGAAACAATAAGGCAAAGCCAGAGCTTCAGATGACTGAAAACAAAATCACAGCAAACAACGAATAAGGGAACTCAAAAATCTAAGTCATCATTAAATTACAGGAAGGTCTCATTCAGAAAATATAGATATTTTGAGTCCAGATGTTGCCTTTTAAGACCTTATGGAAAAACAAACTATGAAGATTGTGATTCTGCTTTATATAAATTAGGTAGCAATCAAAGCAGTAAAAAAATCTAAATTGAGGAGCTTAACTTGAAATACACTTAATAATTGGACTTAAGCAGTTAAAACACCGAAACATAAAGTGTGGCTGCAACCTTCACATTATTTATATGCCTGTCCAAAGTGGTAAACTGAAAAAACAAGTCACTTATTTTTCTTAAAATAAGTGCATTTGTTCTTAGATTGAGGAGGTAAAAGATACATTTTACCAATGGAACAAGACAAAGTAAACTTAAAATAAAAAAACGCAATTTCATTGTTTTATTTCAAGTGCATATTATCTAATTATCTTATTTTACGAGTAAAAGTACTCATTTCATTGGCAAATCATCTTATTTACCTACACAAATTAAGGATAAATACACTTAATTTAAGAAGTTGTTACTTATTTCTAGTGTACCGAGACACCTTGGCTCGTCTGACCGCTGTGGCTCACCTTTAAAGCATATTTATCTCCGGTCTTCCTCTGGAATATTTCCACCACCTTGCCATTGATCCCAAGTCCCAACACCTGGCCGGTTATCTTGTATTCGTCCGTTATGGCGTTCTTATGGATCTGTAGGTGGGGTCTGGCGTGGAACTGGCCCGTGGGGTTCTGCTGGCCCGCCGGGATGGGAAACAGTGGCTGGTTCTGAGCGTTAGACAGCATAATGTCCAGTCTGGTTGACAGAGCTAGTAAGATCACCTAGCCGCCGCTTCTCGACAAAAAGCCGCGCCGTTCTCCTTTTTTTGACCAGATAATCGAGTCTTCCTGGCTTCCCTGTCCCCTCACAAACCGAACACGATAAAATAAAAATTAAAAAAACAAGACAAACGAGAATAATTCTGGTGTCAGTAAAAGAAGCCTCCCTGTTAGCCAATAAAAGCTAAATTAGACAGTTGTTAGCATGCTAGCTGGAGTCTATCCGCGAGCTATGCTTCTCGGCTAACCAGTGAGCTATCGGTAAGCTTCTCCATCTCGGTGTCCGCCTTCCATCGGTTTCTAAAAAAAAAAAAAAAAAAAAAAAAAGAAAACCCCAGAAAGAAGTTTTTTAAAACATATCCTAAGTCACCTATATAGGTTTGTTTCACTTTTAAAAAACAGGAAACCTAAAAGACGAATTTAAAGACGAGCGAAAGCTCAGAGAAAATAGAAAATGACAGAGAAAGTCGGACACCCACAGCATCGACAATCACACTTCAGTTTCCAGCGGAGAGGCAGGCAGCAGGTTTTAGTCCTCGCGTCATGGCCGAGGGGGGGTTTCTGTGCTTAAAGGAGAAGTACTAGAGAGGAAACCACAGAGCCACTACAGACCAGCTACAAAACACCCTTTAATGTCAATAAAACAACAAGTAAAATGTTTCCTTTTCTTTATTTTCTTTGTCTGTGTGTCACATTTTAGGTTCCCAATCGGTGTTTATTTCCATATAGTTTGGTCTAATGAAAGAAACCCACTAACAAAGATGGTACCAACGAGGGGGAGGACAGAAATAGACACACTAATCTGACCAGAGGCCTACAGGTTACCTCAAGGTTAGGACTTTTTTTTTAGCTTATGCAGAATGGTGTTTCAAAAACAAGCGAAACAAGCGATGCATCCCCATAAATTAAAATATGGGAATCTTAATATTCATGTTGCGTTATGTTCTCTGGTAATTATATGTACTTGATGATCTGAAATATCTTGTGGCAAATGGAAAAGTGGTGAAAATGCACTAAAGAGAAACTGTGTGGGAAAAGGTTAGGGTTGCTAACTGTTTTTGGCGGTTTCAGACAGGGGCCAACAGGGGCCCTTGAGGAACTAGTCCTGCCCCCCTGGCTTGGTCCCTGTACAGAAAAACATACAGTATAAATATTTTTATTATAATCAGAGATGGGTAGAGTACCCAAACTCAAGTTAAAATAACCCATCTTCACATGTTTTTACCTAAAGGTATTGTATGACGGAGTATTACTGCCAGGCTAGAGATTTTTTATTTTTTATTTTGAGAATAAAGTCATAACATTACGAGAATAAAGTTGTAATATAACATGAATAAAGTGTTATATTAAGAGAACAAAGCTGTAATCTTACGTGTATAAAGTCATAACATTACAAGAATAAAGTAACATTACGTGAATAAAGTAAAACATTGCAAGAATAAAGTTGTAATATTTTGAGAATAAAGTCTTAACATTACGAGAATAAGGTTGTAACATTACGAGAACAACGTTGTAACATTACAGGAATAAAGTTGTAACATTACGAGAATAAAGTTGTAATATTACGAGAATAAAGTTGTTACGAGAATAAAGTTGTAATATTACGAGAATAAAGTTGCAAAATTACGAGAATAAAGTCGTAACATTACGAGAATAAAGTTGTAATATTATGAGAATAAAGTTGTAACATTTCGAGAATAAAGTTGTAACATTATCAGATAAAGTCGTACCATTACGAGAATAAAGTTGTAACATTAATAGCATAAAGTCGTAACATTACGAGAATAAAGTTGAAACATTATGAGAATAAAGTCAAACATTACGAGACTAAAGTTGTAATATTAATAAAATAAAGTCGTAACATTACGAGAATAAAGTCGTACCATTACGAGAATAAAGTTGTAATATTACGAGAATAAAGTCGTAACAATACGACAATAAAGTCGAAACATTACGAGAACAAAGTTGTAACATTATGAGAATAAACTCTTAACATTACGAAAATAAAGTTGTAACATTACGAAAATAAAGTTGTAATATTAATAAAATAAAGTCATAACATTACGAGAATAAAGTTGTAATATTACGAGAATAAAGTCGTGACAATACGACAATAAAGTCGTAACATTACGAGAATAAAGTCATCAACATGTTAGGTTTATTCTTTTATACATATACATAACTTGCACATTTTAACAAACAATTCAACAACACGTTTCAGAATAAAGCTCGGAGCTCCGACCAGCAGATGACGGCCGACAAGCTCCACCAATCAGCAACCTGAGTCCACTTTGACCTGCTGTCCAATTTGATGCTGTTGCTAAAAGATTTACTTATTTGTCAAACCCGAGCCAACTAAAAAACTTCACATGATGCTCAATATTCCTCATTTTAGGGAAGACAGTGCTTCTTGTAAGAGTTGTCATAAAATACAACCTTATTCTCTTAATTTAAGGACTTTATTCTCTTAATATTACAAATTTATTCTCATAATTTTACGACTTTATTCTCGTAATGTTACGACTTTATTCTTGTAATTTTATTATTTATTCTCGAAATAGAAAAAAAAATATCTCTAGTCTGGCCCTAATACTCCGTCGTAGTATTGTAAAGGATTTTTGTTTATTTTTTTAAAAGACCCGCCCTCTCCACTTAAAAGAAAAAGCACATGCACAACCTTGTACTCGCTCCCGAGAGGGAACGCCTATTAAGATCATGTGACAGCATTTGCGAGCCCATATCTGCTCGTGTGCGCTCTGTTTAAAAGTTGCTGTTCTCATAAATCATTCAAGCTTACTGTGTCCAAACGTCCGCCCTAGCCTCTAAATCCCTCAATCCCTATATAGTGGGACTCTATAGTGGACTTTAAAGTGAACTGACGGTTCGGACAGATGGTCACTGCTTTTTTGCTCCGTTGGTCATATTACTCCTCCTTCAAATCACGGTTCCTATGGTGACAGCGGTACACTGTGACATCAAATCCCATAACACTTTGCGAGCAGAGCTCTCTGTGCAAAGCATTATGAGATTTGTCATCACATCTGGGACAGCTAACGGGACAAGCATGTAGGATGGCCTTATGTAAACATATCAATCGAATGATTGACAATTAGGAGGACCACTTATTTAGATGATCCGCCTGGAAATTAAAGATCGCCCTCTATACCTTTAAGTTAAAGAAAAAATTAGCCATTCGAGAATTTACTCATGTAAGAGTGAAAAAGTATTTGGTTTATATGCTACTGAAGTAATAAGTAACTACATAATATACAAGATCATAATGACTGATTTAATGACTTACAAAACAATGTAACGTTAAACAAAATATAAAGTCATATACAAATTCTGGTGTTTCAAATAAGGTTAAAAAAATAAACATACAGTAATTATACTCCAACAACTTTATGTGGAATGAACACTTGTCAAAATACCTTAAAACCTAAAAAAATCAATAGTATTTTAGAATACGTTAAATTATAATATACTTTTTATCGTGTTTTCAGACTCAGAAAATGAAAAATGGTAATAAACCAAAAGGCTTTGAGTAAAAAAAGCATATGTGTTTCAGATAAGCTTGTTTTTATTATGCTTAGTTACTCACAATGGGTCGAGAAGCCAGAGATGCTACTTAAGTAGTAGTTATACTGTTTCATATTTTTATTCACGTAAAGGTAGAACGTCTAATGCTTATAAAAGACTCCTAAAAGTACTTTATTATTCAAAAAGTTGTGCAAGTCCATGTAACTGTGTAAATATTACTAGTTACTACACACCTCTTGATATGTTTAGGTACATTTTTCATGAAATAAGTGTATTTTGCCTTGATTAGAAGATATAAGTTAGTAAATTTGTCAACGGAATAAGATTTACGTTTATAATAATAATTAAAAAAAAAACTCCTGTAACTTATTTCTATAAGTTAAGAATATTTCTCTTATTTGTGATGGCAAAACTACTCAATGCTTTGGGAAACCATCATAATTACTTCAAATTTAGGGCAAATACGATTATTCAAAGAAATATTGTCTTTTTGTAGATTATCTTTTTGCAGTGTAACTCTAAATAAATTCATTATGAAGATACCTGTTCACAGAAGAGAGCATAACTGATTCTTCTTGGACCAAGACACGATCACAGTTTTATATGTTAAATCAGGAGTCTGCAACCATGGCTGTTTGGCATCTTAAACAGTTTTTTCTTTTTTCTTTTCCTACGTGTTCTTCTATTTTTTTTCCGACTGTGCCCCCATGAAAAAAAATCCCCCCCTAGAACCACCACTGCCAAGTGTCCCTTAGAGAAAGGAACCTTCCATAGGACTCTAAATTAGGTGTAATGTCATTTAAATTTGTACGGCACTCCTTGAAATACTTTGAAAATCAAAACTTCAAGCCAAGAGTTTTATATAGGACTACAAATATGCAATTAACAAAAAACAATATGCACAAATATGCATATTTGAAATTAATGTCAAGAAATGGCTATTTGCCCGAATATATTAAGAAAAATAAAAAAGTGCTTCAATGAGAAATTCATAAAAACCACTCAGAGTGAAAGAAACACATTTTTGTGTTACGACATAACCTTAGAGCATTAATGCTGAAACATGCACTTACATTTTTTTTATCTTTTTTACTTAACTATCTTTTTAACTTTTCAGTTAGCTTTTTAACTTTTTTAACTTTTTTTTGTTAAGTTTTTTTTTTCTTAATAGGTAATATATAATTTGCTCATCTAATTGGTCAAATTCAAAAATAACATGTACGGCCACATAGCAATATCTTTGCTGAATGGGGTTAAATTCCGATTTGATTTAAATGATTCCTGAGTTTTTATGAACTATTTGAAACAGACCACAGTGCTGACTAATGGAAATGCTTGTGCAGAGCTCCCATGGTCAACAGAAAGACGTAAAGATATATAAAAAGATAATATAGGAGAAGAAAATAAAATATCAAATATAAAATGTTAAAAAGGACAAAAATCCGGACTATGTGCATAAATAACTTTAGCAGGGGAGGTATTATAAAGTGACAAAGAGTTGATGAGCTGTGTAAAAGATGGTGGTGTAAAGAGTCATAAATATGAATAAAGATTAATAAATAAGGCAGGGTTTTGGGAGGTGATATTTTTAACATTTTACCTAGGTACAGTGAGAAAGTATTGCACATGTGTTGGGGGAATGGCGGCCTCGTGGTTTGGGCATAGAGCTTGGGATCCTGAGGTTGTGAGTTTGAAACCCACTCCCACAGACTGCCAATCTGGCTCTCTGAGCAAGACCCTTAACCTTGATTCCCCTCTGGGTGCCCCACAATGGCAGCCCACTGCTCTCCAAGAGGATGGGTTAAATGCAGAGGTACATTTCCATTGCGAGATCAGTAAAGTTCAGTTATTCTTATTGTTATACACGTTAACCATCAGGCTGACTGTGGCAGAGAAGACTGTCAGCTTGACCGGCGGAGGCCCAATATTTAATGGAGGCAAGACAAAACTGACGTTTTGGTGACTTTGTTGAACT